AGGCAAAGTTTGTTTTAGAGATATTGAAGGGTTGCTTTTGACATTGGTTTTGTGAAGTGGTCAACAACTTGGTTATCAATGGAGATATGTTGAGTGATAAGCAGTCCACTCGCAACTTGTTCTCGCACAGAATGATAATCCAACTCTATGTGTTTGCTTCAGGCATGAAATACAGGGTTCTTGCACAGAATGATAATCCAACTCTATGTGTTTGCTTCAGGCATGAAATACAGGGATAACTGTCATATAAAGAGCACTGAGATTGTCACTGTAGAGTATGGGAGGAGATGTTATTGCAATTTGAAGATCTTTGAGGATGAATGTCATCTAAGTGAGTTCGACTGTTGTTTTAGCCATGGCACGGTACTATGCTTCCGTGCTTGATCGCGAAATGGTATGTAGTTTTTTTGCACACCACGAGATGAGGTTCCCGCCAAGGAATGTATAGTAGCCTGTGGTTGATCGTCTTGTAGTAGGACACCCTACCCTATCTGCATATGAGAAAGCAAAAAGATCAAGTGTATTATGTGAGGAAAAATGTAAACCCATTTCAATTGTTCATTTGACATATCGTAGGATACGTCGAACCATTTTTAAGTGTGTCCTTGTGGGATAATGCATGAATTGGGATGCATAATTAATACTAAATGAAATATCTGGGTGAGTAAGTGTAAGATATTTTAATACTCCAACAAGACCTCTATAGTAACTTGGGTCTTCGAAGAGAATTTCGTTGGAATAATTTTTGGTTTTAGCTTCAAGAGGCATACTCATTGGCTTGCAATCTACCATAATTGGAGCGTTCAAGTATGGTAAGGGCGTAGTGAGACTGAGATAGATGAAGCCCCTTATTTGTAGTCATGATTTCCATTCCAAGAAAGTGATGAATTGGTCCCAAATCTTTCATTGCGAACTCACTGCTTAATAACGTAATGAACTTTTCAAAAGCTCTGGAGAAGATCCTATAAGCAATATGTCATCCACATAAAGTAGTAAGATCAGTGGACCAAATCCAAAGTGAAAAACAAATAATGAAGGATCGGCTAAACTACAAAAAAAACCAAATTTAACAAGAAAAGCACTAAATCGATCAAACCAAGCACATGGTGCTTGTTTTAACCTATAGAGTGTTTTTTGTAGTTTATAGACATATGTTGGATGTTCCGAATCTGCAAGTCCTGGTGGTTGCTGTATATAAAGATCTTCAGAAATTAGGCCATGCAAAAAGGCATTTTTAACATATAGTTGTCGAATAGACCACCGCTTAACAAGAGCGATATTTATAATCATCCGAATTATTCCTGGTTTGATCACATGAGAAGAAGTCTCAGTGTAGTCTAATCCAACTTGATGATATTCTTTTGCAACCAAAAGTGCTTTGAATCGATCTAAAGTCCTTCCAGGCTTGAGTTTTGACTTGAATACCCATTTTGAAGCAATTACATTCATGTTAGATGTGCGAGGAACTAGTTTCCATGTGCTATTTTGATGAAGAGCAGTAAGCTCTTCCATTATTGCTGCTTTCCAACCAGGGTGTGCTAAGGCTATTTTGATATTTTGTGGCTTACGTGGTACATTAGCGGAGGTGATTGTGGTCAAGGCATACTTATGGTTGGGTTTTACCATACCTAGTTTTGCTCTAGTGACCATGGGATGTATGTTTCCTGAAGGGGCATGTGCTGGATTTGGTGATCCTGTCGATGTGGTTGCTGGTTGTGGGGCTACGATTTGTGGTATTTCTAAGGTTTCAAGTGTGTTGAGGTACTACATTGAAGAGGGGATGAGATTCAGGTGACATGGAATTTTGTGGGATTGTTGCTGTGGTTTGAGGTTGTGATAAGGGACTTAAACCTGGAGCTGTGGAGGAGGTCGAATATGTCCCCGTAGAAAGAGAAATATCAGTATGTGGTAACCCAGTGTCAAAAATATTTAAAACCAATGACTTTGCCGTTTTCATGAAAGGATTATTTGTAGGCTCATAAGGAAGAATTTGCTCTTCAAAGACAACATGTTGGGAGATAAATTTTTGTTTTTTTTGCTTGATGGATGAAAGCATTTATAAGCCTTATGTTTTTACTGTAGCCTACAAAGATGCAAGGGAGCGTTTTAGGATCAAACTTGTGACGCTGTGTGTCCCAAGTGTAGGGAAAACACTTAGATCCAAATGTGTGAAGTGATGAATAAATCGGATGCTTTCCATGCAATGCAAAATATGGGGTTTCAAAATTAAGAGTTGATGAGGGTAGTCGATTTATGAGATATACCGCTGTGGAAAATGCTTCTACTCATAAAAATAAAGGCGCACCACAATGAAACAACATAGTCATACCTAATTCTCTTATAGTTCTATGTCGTCTTTCAACCATACCAGTTTGCTCGTGAGTATATGGAGTTGATATTTGGTGAACAATGTCTGTGGAAAGAAAGTGAGTTGATAGTTTGGAATTAAGGAACTCACCTCCTCCATCGGAATGAAAGATTTTTATTTGCTTGTTGAATTGTCTAGCAACATATTTTTCAAATGTTAGATATGCATTGAAAAAAATCAGATTTTTGCCGTAAAGGAATAATCTATGTATACTTTGAAAAATCATCAAACAAACAAGCATAATATATGAATTTTGCTATAGAAAGAATGGGAGCAGGTTCCCACAAATCACAATGAATTTTCTCAAAAATACTTGTACTCGAATGTTCCGAACAAGAAAAAGGTAAATGACTAAGCTTTCCTAGTTGATAACTATCACAAAGATGTTGTGATTTTGTTGTGCCTACAACATCAATTAACCCTTTATTTTTTAACATTTGCAAGGTTGAAGATTGAGGGTGGTCGAGGCGTTGATGCCAAATTTCTACTGTGCCGACTTGAAACAATTAGAAAAATAAAGTTCCGGTGAAGAGGATAGGATAGAGATCACCCTTGCATTTCCCTGTCATCATTGCTTGTCATGTTTCCCATTCCTTTACACAGAAATCCACATTAGAAAATTCACAATTAACAGGAAACTGAGTGGTTAGCTAACTTCCAGAGAGCAAATTCCTTTTTAGATTAGGAACTAATAACACATCATTTAGTGGCAAGATTGATTTTTTATTTATTTTTTAAATATAAGAGTCTCCAATTGCAAGAATTGGCATGGAAGACTTGACAGAAAAACATAATAGGATTATATAT